GTTATAGGCATGTTGTAGCAGAAGATAATTAGTGTGTGCACCATTTTAATTTATATAGTGCTCTGTGAACACAAATTAATTAGCATAAATCAGTTAAATGACGAAAAATTAGGTGTCTATTTACTTGTGACCACTCAGTGTACAGGTACATCAACAAAGTCAATGTCAACTGGTTTTATACTTTCTTTTATAATATAAGTACAGTGAAAAGTGTTTGTATTTTTCTTTGACTGGTTAATTTTTGAACTAGAAACACATATGAAAGATATATAAAGACAATGCATGAGAAAAACTAAAGGTGTGATGGTTCACAAACCAGATGAAAACGTTAATTTAGAACTTTAAAACAAATTATTTTTAATATATGTATATTAGTAAAGTAACAAAACTTTACATACTCTACAATGTGTAAAATCAACTCGTATTATTTCATGCAATATCATACTGCATACAGCTTCAGTCCTAAAATATAATTTATTCTTTCCATTTTCAAAATGTTGCCTTTAACTGCAGGCTAATATCATTTGTGCACTTTTGTAGCTTTCAGACCATGATGTATATACACAAGTAATTCCAAAATTATAGCTTCAAGATGGTGACTGACTACCTAGACTTCCCAAAATCATGTCACTTGCTGGAGTCTACAACCTATAGTTTTCAGTCCATAAATTTCTGCCTGGAGATCAAAAGCTGTAGTTGGCCAATGTATGTTCTTGACACATCAGTTGGAAACATGTAATGAATGTAAGAACTTAAGAAATGTAAAGTACATGTAATCAAATGTAATCCTATCTTCTAGGTTTTGCCTACTGTTTATACTCCTGGAAAAGGAAATTTAGTAAAAAGTGTGTGCATTTTTTACAGAAAAATGAAGAAATTTCTGCATGTGATAAAATGTACTATATCTTCTCGTGAATCAACTTTCAGATTTCAAGAATCTCCACCAGGTGTTTTACCTACAAGTTTTATATACTGATAATGTTACTTACCCTAGAAAAAATGTTAAACTTTCAACCAAAATATATACTGTTTCACATTCCTATTTAAGAGTTTATTTTCATTTTTGTAAAGTTAAAACCATTAGTATAATGTATTTTAATTTTTAATACAGCCTGCTTTCACCAAACTATCAAAAAGAAACTTATTTGATTCTTACTTGTACACTTTATTTCAGTTTCCTCTATAAGGAAAAAAAGTCAAATTCTGAAAATTGTGCCAAAATATTTTAAAAATTAAAACAGCTTTAAAAGAAATGTTCCAAATTTTCTGAAAAGAGTAGTCTCCTCCTTTTGATTCAGTTTATATATATGTGATAGAATATTCTTTATTTTCTTGGTCTCTATAAACATATATATAAAATTGTTGAAATAATGTAGATAAGAAGATGCACTTAAAAGTTATGTAGAAAAAATGATTATGTAGATAGAAAAACAGTATTAAAAAGCACTAAATATGTTAAGATAATACATTTGGTGAGGGTTTGCTGTTAATTTTCTAGTCATTTTATGAGACATCCTGTAGTTGCAGGTGAAACTGAGCAGTTTTTCAGGGAAATTATTAAACAGACTCATGATAGTTCAAAATACATACAATCAGGAAACAGTACATCACATGAAAAAAAAGATATTAAAAATAAAATTGATGCTTTTGACAAGTTGATTTGTATTAAACACTGATGGCTAAAATAGTTTTTTATTTTGTACAGCAACAAATCTGAAAAATTTTTTGAGTAGGGTGAATTTAATATAAATAATTATAAAGATTTTCTGATTATAAATAGCATACTTTTACTCCACAGTTTTAAAGAAACAAAGTAAGGATATTATTAAAGAATCAATGACAAGAATGGTTCTTAAAAAATAAAATTTTATTAATCTTTGCATCTAGTCATTACATAGGTAAGTAGAGAAAATCTATTAACTAATGTAATCATTTGTGTGTATATATATATATATATATATGCTTTGTATGTAACCTTAAACCTCAAGTTATATGTATTAATATAAACAATATTTATCAAATTTAATTGTATAATATGGCATAATTATTAATCTCTTTTTAAAACCTAATTAAGATTCGCATACCAAACACAAATAACATAGCAGTGCATTTTCTGTAAACAATAGTATATAATACACATTTACTTGGATATATAATAGTAGTACATGATTAACTACTGTAGCAGCATTCTTGTAAGTTTTGTACTCTAAGAAAATAGCAACTACTAAGACACTTACTGTCCTCCTACGAAAACAATTAAAAATGAATATTTCTTCAAAAATCCTAAAATAAAATACTGTAGGTATTATTAAAGATTTTTAACATTCACTGTTATATTATATCTTTTATAATGATGATATTCAACACTTGTGTTGTGGGCCTTGGTTAACTTGACCAATACATTTCATAAAATTACTTCTGGAGATCTGAAGTGTAAGCATCATAAACAAGTTTGGCTGAAACCAAGTCCTGTACAGCCATACCTAGAAGTACAAGGAACAGCCTAATCAAAAAATAATGCACGATTAGGTTTAAAAATCATTTTATTTGTTTTCTTATAGTTTTTACTGAAATACAATAAATATTATTAACAAAACAGCTGTATTCGCATTTGATTTTTTTTTACTGACACTTTTTTTAATACATTAATCACTTGCATTAACAGCTTTAAGTGATTATCCATAAATGCAGATAAATAATAAACTAGATTTTTTGTACAGCTTCTTTTCCCAGCATTTTTAAGTAAAACTACTGTACGTACCAGTAACTATCAAATTATAAACTGTGTTAATACTTGACAGTATACACATATCCATAGCTTATAATACACTCTTATTTTACCTTGTGAAAATAGAGAGAATCTGATAGTACAAAATACCAAATTTACGATGGTGTTAGCTTTATTCAAATGGGTATGGTTAATGGGAAGTCAGATATAGTTAATATTTCCATTTCCGTGCATAAACTTTTTACGCGTACTCACCAAGTGATTTGAATACAGTTGTTTTATCTCTGAAGGCTTCTTTCTTTCCCAAAATTACTTCTCCAATCTCTGCATACACTTCTACCTGTTCAAAATCAATAATCAGAACCACAGAACAATTACTAAGCCATATTAGTTCCTAATTTTATACTTTATTGCACATTACACTCATCAAAAATCTGTAGATGAAAGACTGCCGAGAGAAATAAATTAACTATATTTCAGCATAAAAACACACATTTCAAATATAGAACATTATCATGAACTACAACTACATTATAACTTGTATGATTATGGCTCTTTTTCTGCTTATCTGCTTTTTTTTTCAGTGCCTGTATAATTATCTTAAGGCTGAAAACACCTTAGAAGTTTTTTTGTTTATTATGCTCATTTGCTGTCACTGTTGAAAGTTAAGGTTGGTTCTTAGATAACACTGGTGATTACTACATATTAATAATTTCTTTCAGAAAATAAATACAATTTTTAATGGAAGAAAAACTAAAATATATGAACAGTTAAAAATATTTTCTTTAAAACATTTTATATTATAACATACACTCACAGCCAATACTGTATCTTGTATATTTTACCTTGTTATAATCCAAATGTTTTATCTGTAATTAAGAAACACAAACCATAAATGCTTACTCACTTCTGAAATAATAATGTCTCCCGATTCTACACAAGCAGCTTCTCTACTATCAGTATAGACAACAGCAGATCTCATCAACTCAGGGTCCAATTCCTGGCTTGTTGGATTTGAAGCACCAATCACTAGATGATTTTGTAGATAGTGAAGTTGTTAAAATAAAAGATTTTGATAACTAACGTAATCTTATTGTTAATTATAATTGAAACAAGAAAATAATATAATGGTTTAAATATTAGAAAGAACTATGTTATTTAAAATGCACATAAGTTTTTTGTCTATTTGGTATCAGTTGTACTTATTAAAACTTAACCAGGCATTATCACCTGGTGAAATGTTCTGAACAAAACAAAACTTTTACTATGTATAATCATTAAAAAGAAATGTCAGAGTATTACGTTTTTGTTTTGCTCTTTAAAAACTGCATTCTTTATTTGGTCCCTTACCATCTTTCCCAGAAGAAGTACGTATAATAGTATTTCAATCATACTAAGTCCACCATATCCATAGCTCAATACCAAAGCTCATCATGAAACAGTAGACAGCTTTCTTGATCAAGTTCTGTTATGGTAATAAACCTAAGGTTAAGTTAGCACTTGACCCTCACCTGATTTAGCATGTTCTAAATAACAACTCCAAAATTAAGTTTTTTAAATATGGAATGTATACTATAGGACAGCGAGATACATGCATGTAGTTTCTGTATACCACACCATCAACTTTACTATAACACTTACAGAAACTTCATAAGAGGATATATAATGAAATAACAATTGTTGTTCAGAACCATTATTTGATATCATTAAAATGTTGTGAAAACTTAGTAATACATCAATCAGTAATATTAAAATTATCATCCAAAAATAGTATCTAACATAACTTATAGTGATTCTGAAGACCAAGTTATACGCTGTGTATGAAATCAATATAATTAAAATAATAATTTCATTATATTTAGTTTAATCCATATCTTCTTTTGTCTGGAAAAAATACAGAACCTTATAACCCGAGGACTTTCAAAAAGTAGGCCTTTCTTTTTTTTTTTTAATCAGGGGCAAACTTTTGTAAGATGTAGACCATTGGACTTTGCTGAAGATGATAGTGCAGCTAAAATTTAGAAATGTAATCCAATAATTCTTAGGCAGAATAATAAAAAGAAATACATGTAAGTAAATAATATAATCAATGAAATAATTAAAATACTAGTCAACTATGTTAATTTCACAAAAATAAAAATTTAAAGATTTTCTCTAACAACATTTTAATTTAAATAAAGATTAAAATCCCAAGCACAATATATCTATACATCACTATAATTTAAGTGATGAATTTTATGAAAAATAACTTGGATTAACATAATGAAATTAAAATCTTTGAAATAATTATTAATGCATTTAACAATGTACAGAACTTGATAAAAAAAATTTAAACTTTTCATTTACAAAACAATTATGTTCAGCACCAATTCAGCATGTTAAAATGTTGCTTAAGACTTTTGGTTATCTATACATTCCATTATCACTAACCACAAATTCACAACTTAACCAGGCATGAGTTGGTGATAAATCAGGAATATATAAAATCTGTAAAATTTTGAAATTTAATAAAAATATACTACAATGATATGTGTGTGGATTAGGGCTTCCATTCTGTACAGGAAAAATGTCAGTAACTTTTATACTGGGGAGTTATTAAACATTCTTTGCCCTTCTTTTCACCAATATTTTCAATTCTCTGGTCAAAAGTCAATTGCTTCTATTTATGCTATTCCCTGTTTTATAGCTTAGAAAATGAATGTAGACCATCAGAAGATGATATTACGCTTCCTGTTACTTGCATCTGCAATGTGAAAAGGTGTTTCAAGTGCAATAAATGCAGTCAATATGAATATGACCAGAATGGGATATCCACTGAAATAAAGTTATTTATTAAGGAAACTTTTATCTGTACTTCTCTTATTTGAATATTTCTAGTTATTGTTTGTACTGAAATATCAAAGTTTCTGACCAAGTTTACACCTAAAACAGCAATTAACCCTCATCAAAATTAGTTTCAGTTTTTGTATTAGTTCAGACTCTTTAGATCCAAGTTTAAATGCTAAAATAATCAAAATGAAAAATTAGTACTTCTGTATCTAATGATGTAAAAAGTTATCACATTTTATTAGTTTTGGCCTAGTTTTAAGTTCAAGATTAAAGTATAAATGAAGTTTTCTTTATATACAAATGAATGTTTTTCTTTAACTCAGTTGGCAAGAAAGTATTAACTAACTTGGCTACTAGTCGAAATCTGTCTTTAAAATGATTCATCAAATTTTCAAAGAACATGGATTTTGCTTTAATACAAAACACCACTGACCATTGATATGAGCTCCTGGTTTAACCCACACTGCTTTCAGGATAGGAGTTTTTGAAAAAGTGGCTGTTACAATAATGTCTGCATCTCTCACAGCTTCTTCCACATTCGAGCAACACACACAATGAAAGCCTTTGTCGTTAAGTTCTTTCACCAGCTTTTCACCATTATTCTGATGAATGTTCCAAATTCTCACCTTGAAAGGAACTTCCATTATTTAATAAAAATACAGTGGTCAATAAAGGCATTTTACAAATTATTCACAATACAATAATCTTTAAGTAAAAAAAAATGGTTACTTTTGTCTAATCATTTATTATTTCTCACAAAAATGGCAATCTTGAATGTTTTGAATATTAGTTAAATTCTACAAACAGAAGTTCCCTTACATAGGAAAAGGTTTAAAGCCAAACAAGATGCCACAGACTGCTGATGCACAGGTCCAGATTGATAAACAATTCTTGTAAACTCAGGGCTCTACAGACTGCTGATACATAGTTCCAGATTGATAAACAATTCTTGTTAACTCGGGGCTCTACAGACTGCTGATACATAGGTCCAGACATTGATAAACAATTCTTGTTAACTCGGGGCTGTACAGACTGCTGATACATAGGTCCAGAGATGGATAAACAATTATTGTTAACTCGGGGCTGTACAGACTGCTAATATGTAGGTCCAGAGATGGATAAACAATTATTGTTAACTAGGGGTTCTACAGACTGCTGATACATAGGTCCAGAGATGGATAAACAATTCTTGTTAACTTGGGGATTTAGGTGGACCAGTTATGACTAAGTAGTAACAAGATTATTTAAAAGGTTAGTTCATTACAAGGGGAAAATGCATTAATGTTTTAATATTTCTGATATAAAAAGAAGAAACTGAGACTGAGGTGACTTGAATCTTTAAAAATATTTATTGGGCAGAGGTTTTAACCAATGAAGCTACTAAATGTAGCGTATCTTAGTTATCATTATGCTGATTAGTAAAGGCTTTCTTTCCTTGGCTAACTAGTTTGTACAATTTGAAATTCCTTTATTACAGTCCTCATCACAATTCTGACATAAATTGGACAATTAGGCTCTTGTTTAGCTTGAAATCTCTTTACTAAACATTCCCATCAAAAATAAACCCTATAATTAAACCAGTGAAGTGAGAATCAGGACTTTCTGCATCAACAGGGTACTAGTATCACTGGTTAAAGCATCTGCCCAATAAATAGAATCATAGGTTTGAGTCCTATTCAACACATTTCCAATTCTGAAGAAAAATTCTAATATTACAGGATTGTGCTATTGCTAGTTATTCTTGTATCAGCACTGTCAATGTTTTGTGTAATTCAATGTAGTATTCAATCAAGTCACAGCTTTCTAATATCTTTGTAAACCAATAACGATGATATTCAGCTTCGTGTATCTAAACAACTTAAAGATTTAAGGTTAACCTCATTAAATTAATTACTCTATGAAGTGATTTTAGCATCTTACCTCTATACGTTTAAGCCTTTTAAAGGTGAAAAAATAATTTTAACAAATTTACTATTGTAAATACTGTGTAATAACATTTATTCTTACCTCTTCAAAATTATACAAATGAGTTAATACTTCAAAATGGCTTCTTGCTTGAACACCTGCTCCAAGGATGGCCAGTATTTTGGGGTTTTCTGATGCTAAGTACTACAAACAAAAACCAGTTAACATATATAAACACTAGAGAAAAAATATCACATAGCAAATGGATAAAAAATTATGAATATATTAACAAAAGTTATATTTTACAAGCAAAAAAAAGATACAACATTTTTTTTCTTGAGACTTGTCTGTCACAAACATGAATAAATAAAGATCAATGCACAACCCTATGAACACTCATAAGTTCCTTTACTATATTGTAATCTAGCAGAAATCTTGTTTTCAGATAAATTATTTGTCAAAGATATTTCCTAAATGAATTTAAAAAGTAAGATTGGTTACAGGCACAAAATATGTTGGAAGCAGTTAAAAATAAATAACATAATTTAAAATATATAAAAAAGTTTTTTCCTTTAGAATGGAATGAATAAATTTCAATTTTATGGTGTTAGAAAAACATGTAGGTACACTCACCTTAGTAGCTACTGCAGTAGCACCTGCTGTTCTTTTGGCAGTAATGACAGGAGCTTCCAATATCTGGATGAAAAAAAGTTATTTTATTATCATTATTGTATACTACCATTTCTCAAACTGGAGCTCCAACCCAAAAGGGGGTCAAAAGATCATAAGAGAAATATTGCAATAAAGGATATTTAAGAGTATGTACAGCAATTTGCTATCACTTTGTGTGTGGTTTTTAAGAGGTGGGGGATCATTACAACCTGAAATATTTTCAAGGGGGAGGGGCATCAAAGACCTTTTGAGAACCCCTGATGTATACAAAAAATATATACTTTGGTGTTATCACTTTTTATGAAAAACATTCACATCGGTGGATGCAGAAAAATATTCATTCAATATCATTAACACCCATAGAAGATTTCCTTCACATTTTCATGACTGGTTATGTGAGTGTTTCTAAAAAAAATACATTGTTTCACATCATACCTAACTGTATGTGTGAAACAGTCTGGTTTATATTAATCATTCAATAAAAAAGCTTCAAATGTAAAATTTTTCTCAAAAAGAAAAAAATATCAGTTAGGAAACTGTGGCTCGAATGATAGCGGATATTATTTTCATGTCTCAAAAATATTTCACCTCCTGATCATGACTGGTTAAGATTTAAAATAATTGTAAAACTGATCACTAGAAGTTTTTGTGAAGTAGCTTCAATTTTGTTTTTATATTACTTCAAGCATTAATCTTATAGAAGATGTAGATACCACCATAATAGAAGTAAGTAGTTATAAAATCCAAAATACTATAGTATAAGTCCTAAAAGAAAGTAATCTAAAAGTTTATTGGATAGTCATGTCTCACTTGGGACTACACAAAGCATGGTAAATGTAGCATCTTAAATGTTCTGTGTGTCACCCACCATCTTTAAAATACAAAGCTTTTTTGATAGTACATTCCATTTCATGGAAAAACAACAACCTGTTTTCGGGATATAATCCGGTTGCTCCAATTGTTCAAATAATCTACTTCTTAAGAAAAAATAGCCTATTTCCCTAAATTTTTATTTTGTATTTGGGCTGCAGTAATTTATTGATTTCACCTTTGTTAAATTTCTATAAATAGAGCAAAAACCAGGTAACAATAAAAGAATTATGGTGAGAAAAGGCTACAGGCTATCTACGATTACGAGCTTAGAATATTACAGAAAAAAAAAAAGACTTCAACAAATAAACTGAAATATCTGAAAAGGAACTTTTTTTTTTCAGCTAGCAGTAACAAAAATATTATCAAGTATAAGTCAAGAAACTTGGCACAACAAGCACATGATTACCCCCCCCCCTTTATTTCACAGCAATTACTTATTTTAACTCTGGTGTTTTACTACATACATACATAAAATTTCTTCATAAAAATATTTTTCAGTGTTTGATAAGATATATTCAACACTATTCAAAAGCTTCATCCAGCATTTTGTTTTATATCTCTATAGTTAAACAAGTAATTTTAATAAGGACTGTTCTGCTTCATGGAACAGAACCTTGGGCCATAAGAAAAAAAAGGAGGAGGGTATTTTAGACAGAACAGAGATGAGAATGTTAAAATAGATGCTGGGAATATCTTTGAGAGAAAGAATAACAAGTGACGATATCAGGAAAAAAAAAGTTGGAGTCTGTACGATCACAAAAAAAAGCAAGATTGAGATGGTTGGGCCATGTAGTACAAAAGGAAGAAGGATGTACAATGAGAAGAGCATTGGAAATATTAGTGGAGGGATGAAGAAGTAAAGGAAGATGAAGAATACAGGGGAGAGATGTGTTTGACTGGGATATGGTGCAACTAGGAATGATGCATAGGACCATAATCTACGGAGAAGAAAGACTCAAGAGGCTAGCCCCATACTAGAATGAGATTAAGGTCATACGAAGTTAAACTAGTAATTTTAATAAAAAGCAACCTTGCTTGGTCATCTTTAAACATCCTAGTTTTGTAACTGTAAAATAATTCCTGAACAAAAATTATGAAATTGTTCTCTTGGGAAAAGATAGCTTGATAAGAGAAAACGTGTGTATGCCTTTGGTAGCCTTGAGTTCTGTGGTGATAGGACTAGGGGGAAAACACTAATAATTACGTCTTAGATACATCATATAAAAGTTTAGTTTCACATCACTTCTTACAATTACTTTTCTCATATTCAGTGGTCAAAATGGGCCAGCATATGATGATATGCCATACAGGAACTTCTTAGAACCTATAAACTGAAACTTGTCAGAATATTTTAATAGTTTCATCTCAGAACCTCTAAACATCCATTTCAACCACTGCTTATTATTATTAACTTTTGAAATAGATTACCTGATAATTAAGATAGCATAGAATCATCTATTGGATTTTGCTTTTTGTCTAACTATTTACTTTCAGCTAAACATTTCAGGCTAATATTTTGGGAAGTTGGTTGATAAGTTCAGTGATTTTTTTGTTAGGTAAATTTTTCATTTGAACAGGTAATAAATAAATAATATAGAACGAGCTCTTGTTTTTTTAACTTATTTTTAACCCTATCAAAGTCTCAGTTCTTTATGGGCCTCATCACAAAAACAGTTCTCATCATACTTGTACTTTAAAAACGAATTCATACGCAAACATTAAAGAGATCTCTGAAGCTTATATGACAAAGTTCTATGCGTACGTCTACATACAGAATCAGAAGGAAGACATCATAAAGACTTAATCAACTGTGAGTATATATATTATGAGTGTTTTCCTCAAGGTAAATATAAAAAATAGCCATTATTCTAAAAAGAAATGATGAACTTACATATTTATAAATATACTATATAAGAAATTAATTTCTTTCACACATCCTAAATCTATGCACATGTATATAGTGTATAATATACACAGGAACTATAACCCCAGTTTGAACAAGGGTAAGGGACTGTATTTATTACCGCCTTCAAAACACCATCTACTGCACTGAAAAGTAATATAACTCCTTGAATTCTCGGCAGTCCCCTCAAGTGATTATCGTTATATACAGTGATGATCTTAGTTGCTAGTGCTTCGTGTGGAGAGCTGCAAACTGGCATGGAAAACAATAACCTAAAATAAAGACAAAAAATGTTATTTCAAACACAGTCGTTTCTATACAAAGATATTATATTTACCAAATAAATAGCAGCCAGGCATATATGATTATAAAAAATGAACATTATCTATTTGTTGTACATGGTAATAGATGACACAGGTGACCAATATCTATGTTTTTTTGTTTTGTTACAAATTTTAAAACTGGAAATTTATTGAATTAGTGTTACCACTTTTTTACCTAAAAATGAATTTCAAGAAGATACTCTCATCTTCACAGAACTAAGAGCTATTACTTCACACATCTGCCGAGAAGATTTCTGCAAGTGCCACAAACCTTGAAAGAAATTCTCACTCCTGTATGTATTAAATTGGATAGCACATCTTATGATGTAATCATCATTAGACTACAACTCTCCACCAATAGGAGGGTGACACATCCTCCATGCGTTATAAACCCCATGAACCTTTTAGGTTGTAATTGAAACTCATTCTGCTACATGTTTAATTCTTTCATTCTGAATAATTAGTTGTTTAACTAATCCTTTCAGTTCTTCAAAACCATTGTCAAGGAATTAATATTTCATAGTACTTGAGCTAATGACCCCATAACTTTTGGATGGTGCCTTCAGTTGTATATCTTTGACCTTAATAGATTCAAGTTTCAGCACTAACTGCTGTACTTCCTTTAAAGATGTTCATCTACTCTGATTCAGTCTAACTCATATCTGTTATTGCATCTATGAGTTGGTCAAGTGCCAAGAATTCCATAATTTTGTGTGGAGCAGCTGGGTAAGATAATTAGGTATGCCTTTCCAAATGTTCTCCAAGTTTGGCTAAGGTCCCTTCTTTCCTCTGTACTCTTCTCCTGAACTTTTTTTTTGGAAACTTTCTTCTGATATGTCTCTCCAGCTTCTTAGGTAAAGCAACTACCAGTGAATGATAGTTGTTTCGACTCTCAGCTAGAAAATCACTTAATATCGTTAAAGCTGATCCTTTTAAATGGGCAACAAGATGAATAGGTCGTTGTTCAATATACCTTTTCACTTTGGAAACAACTTCAAAGTGAGTTTGATATGCCTCCATTGGTTTATCGACAAGGCAGTACTGTTGAGCTGACCAATTCAATTCTGGAACTAGATTTGATAGTGACATAGCTAGGGTAATTTTAAGGTCATGCAGTTGCAGATATCTCAGCAGTTGTGGTAACAGGTGTAGGCTACATTTATTCTATTAATAATATTTTCTAGCAAATGATGTTTTAGGTTTGAATTCTTAGGCAAATGCAAAAAAAAGGTGTTGCTCGCTTGAGCTTTTCATTTAACACTGAATTTTCCAAATGTTTTATTCTGTTATTTGATAAAATTTTCTAACTCACTGATCTACCAATTTTGATGTTTCTGTGTCTCATATATGTATTTTTGTACTTCAGTTTTGTCATTATAGGTCTTCTGTACTTTGTTTATATCTTTATGTTCATATTCAATCTTGTCACTGTAATCCCTCTGCACATCTCCAATAACTTCATCAATCTTGTCTCCAATTAATCTATTTTTGTTCTTAGTTTTTAAATATTACATTACTTTCTTTTAACTCCTTTTTTAAATTCTCCTCTCCTACCCTTTAATCTTCTTTTAATGTTCTATTTCTTTCTTCTTTTTTTTTAAATTTTCTGTCATTCTTCTTGATCTTTTAATGTTGTCTCTTTCTGCTTTTCTTCTTTACGATGTTTCATCGTTTCCAGCAAATTTTCGGTCTCGCTTCATGCTTGTAAAGTTTAGATAAATTTCTATTTTATTTTCACCAAAATAATTCCTCTCCTGACGCCATTGTTATGACATATTCTATCTTTGGGTGGGTTCTGTAAAATTATTCGGTAAGAATGTAAGGATAATGCGAAATCCAGTCAACATAAGGATAACGAATTAATTTATATCTTCAATGATATTTTATACAGGTTGTTAATAGGTAGATCAAACTTCACAAACAACTAATGATACGCCTAACTCACAGACACAAACTCAACCAATCGCTTACTTCCAAATTCCCTTGCTAATCCATCAATAAAAAATGTGCTAATTGGCCAATTTATTAATCTAATCACTGACCTACAGTAACTAATTATCACTATCTCACTCAATAAAACTCGAAAAGACACTAACTGATTAATTCATTCTTAACTCACTTTATCTGGTATTTCTACACTGTACTTTCTTTCACGAAAAATCGAGAATCCACAGATGTCTAAACTTCCATATACCTTCTAGAGTGCACTCAGTTATTACACAATGTAAATAACTTCTGTCCAGTGAATAAAATTTTAAAATATTAAAAATACAGCCTACAACAGCATTTAATGCTGCACACCGATTTTAAAAGTTGTCGAGAAACTCCTGTTGAAAATCACCAGACCAAACCTGTCTGGTGTTTATACTACAGTCTGATTCTTTTTTTTCTTTGCCAGTGGTATTCTATCGATTAAAACTGGGTGCCCTCTTTATAAGAAAAGACTTCCACATTTCATAAGAAGACGTTGCGTTGCATGAATGTATGTCAGAAGTATTCATTTCAAATGTCACAAGCGTTGGTAGACAGGAATTTGTAAAAATATTTGTACACAAAAAACAAAATAACATTATTGACATCTTCTTTGCATTAGCCATTTTAGTATTTATATAATCTTTGTTAATATTATCTATAATTATAGTTCATACTTTTCAACATATTTCTAGAGATGTTGAACTTTTACTTAAATATAAACATTACTGCATGATCATGTAAAACAGAATTCGCAATGAAGAGTCAGAGTAATGTTGCATGTATATTGTATTATTAGTTAATCATTTACAGATAAACATGTAAGAATATGTTTCAAAACCACTTTTCCTTGAAAAATTAGGCTGGTTTCTGTCAATAAAATGTGTTGGTAGAAACAAACTTAATTGTATAAAGATCAGTGAACCAAATTCATTGTAACGACTTTAAGACACTTCTTACATAGGAGAAACTAACCGCTAGCCTTCATCAACACAGAAAAAACATTTGTATTTAGAGAAGTTATCTTTACCAAAAACAATAGAATTTATAGACCCCTGCCAACCTGTGACCCTGATTATGGGATGTCAATGTTTGTCAAAATACGGGATGTCAACCTTGATCTTTTGCTTCGCCATCTCCGCCTTCTTCAATTCCGAATGGAAAATTTAAATCAGGACTTATATCCTAATATAGTTATTAAAAGCTCACTTTAATTAATCGTAATCTCCACGAGCGGAGATTAATATCCCTAAATAACTGCCCCAAATTTTTCTTTTACCACAAAACCAAGCCAAACATTAATAAATATACAATATACATTATTAGTTATTTTATTTTTACCTTATTTAGTTGTTTTGATAATAGTTCAGAAAAAACTACCTTTACACTCCAGAAAAATATTAAAGAATATATTTTTATTTCAACCAACGTTTCACCTTTGTGGCTTCATCAGGATTAATATACACAACTGTTTATCTGGAGTTTAAAGGTCGTTTCTTCTGAACTTTTATCAAAATAAGTAAATCCCTCTAGTACGCACTACAAAATTTGAAAGACAACAAAACATTATTTAGTTGTTGTTTATTTCTTTAACATGATTGTTTAATGACATAATATTTTTCTGAAATTGTATGTTGTAACACGTGAAAGTTTGAACTGTTGTGCGATTCTATTCAGATCTTGTACCCCCCAGTGGCACGGCGGTATGTCTGCAGACTTACTATGCTAGAAACCAGGTTTCGATACCCGTGGTGGGCAGAGCACAGATAGCCCTTGTGTAGCTTTGTGCATAATTAAAAACAAACAATCAGATCTTGCCATCTGATTATGATAGATAAATCTAGTGAAACGTGGTGATTAAAAACAAAATGTTTTTAAATAATTTTAATCGTTAACCGTAAATAAATGAATAACATTTTCGTTGACATGTTCTTCCTGCATATAATTCATGTAATACTACAATTAACTAAATAAAAGAAAATGTAAAAGTAAATTCCTGTTACATATAAATTGTCATATACATGAGAGAGAGAGAAAGATAGAACCTACCCATTATAATCCCGAACGGTCACGTTCTCTCTTACAGGCTGAATAACTTGACCATCATCGCTTGAGTAAAGGACAAAAGATGTCTCAAGGCATGAAATCAGGGAGTCCCATCTTCCATCAATGTATCTTGTAATTTTTTCTGAATTCAAAAACACTGGCGAGGAATCAAATTCCATTACTATTTTAAAAAGTAAAATTTGATGCTTATGGCCTCCACCGTTAACTAAGAAATCACGAGTATTTTTCAAATAAACAGGCCTATTAAGTTACATTCCCGTAAACATACATTTTTCAATGTTTCCCCAACGTCGACCTAGTGACAAAAAATAAAAGAGAAAGACGTGTTAATAGGTGTTGGTGAAATATGTAATGAATAAATTAATACAAGAAAGATAAACTATAAATACATAGTCAATGTGAAAAGGCTGAAAAGCCATTTGTTCAATTTAAAGTATTTTAAATCATAGTAGTGGAAACCAAACACTTCCAGATCACATCAAAAGGCAACGCTTTTCGTCACAGAAAAAAAAAATGTTTAAATTATTTTATTAAAATTAAATATTTCAATTGATTCAATTAAAAATAGTGATTTTATATACAAATAACATAATTTAGTGGATCATACTACATCAAAGTACTTTTACGTATCTGCTTGTTTGATAATTTCCGGTAAAAATTCTTTCCAAGAAACTTCAGCGATACAAGTCCCTTCTTGATTAAAACTAGTTTATTTTTTCTCGCTATAACTTTTTGTAATACACAGAATTTCCACAGACACTTTAAACTTAACAACCTTTATAACACACGCTATAAGTCGCAGTGATTCACACATTTTATTTACGGTGCCTACTGTTAGCTTGACTCAATTATCAATTTATTTCTCTTCAATCTATCTCCGGTTTATATACTAAAGAAGAGGGCGTCTAGCAAACGCTGGGACATTCGTGAGGTTCCCCGATCTTTCTAGAAACTCCAGCGCGCATACTCCCAGCGTCGCGTGACTTCTACTGTCGTAACAGCATTTACAATTTTGTTGTTGTTTTTTTCTGTGTAAAAATATTTGTATTCCGTTGTTAGGATTTTGCTCTGGTAAATGTGCAGTTCTAACTGATGGTTTCAGCCTCAGGAAGCAAATATGAAAGTAAATAAAAAAGCACGAAGCAATGAGCTATTTTATTACACTGCTTGAGGCAAATAGTTAATTATTTTCGAACGATTGTGCACGGTCTCATTTCCGGTCGAATCTGAATTAGTTAACCTTCTGGTTAACAAATCCAATCTAATCGTCTCTTTTGCGATCTCGATAACTTGTGTATTATCATATTTTACCCTTCGATTACTTAGAATTTCTATATGTGTTCCGGTAATCCGGACGTACGAAATTCGTAAGTTATATCAATCTTTTTGCTGATTGTGTGGTACATCCAAATGAAGCTGAATTAACTTTTGAACTATATCGTATTCCACTTCATAACAAAATATTTTATCAAAATGTCGATCACGAATTAATACTAAACTCTTGCTAACTCGGTTAGTATAAAATGGAACTAGAAGTTGGACACAAGGTGAAAATAGAAAAATGCACAACATATACTAAGCACTAAACAGTTGGTGTCACTTCGTTAGAATACGACAGATTGACATTTTTAATGGATACTCTCAGTGGCTTATTCTTCATATCAAAACTGATCAAATCCATCGTTCTGCAAAAAAACCTTGCATTTGCCCAGAGTAACTAGCGCTATCACATGAAGGATCATTCTCATTACAACAAAGGTGGAGCCTTAACCCCTAGATATCATCGGAACTATCATTGAAAGACACTGCTGTTGACTTTCTTACCCAACGTGCAGTATTGAGTAATATCTCCTCCTGTCCCAGGGCAGAGCAGATATTATCTCTAGAAAATGACAAAGGAACAACAAAAAAAAACAAGAAAGAAATGAAATTAACAGCTTTTTTGAACACATTTTATGTGAAACCTGCACAGATACAGAATAAATGATAAATTCAGAATAAATACCATAATATTGCACATAGCATATTCATAAACAACACTATTTAAAATTAGTGGATCTTCAAGAAATAGAAATGCTAATACGGCAGTAGTTCGTAGAATTAATTAGTTCCTCTGGTTGTTGAATGCTTGTTCACAATCAGCAATCCAATAAAACTTATTTGGCTTTACATGTAGCTTGTGTGGAGGAAAGCTACATCAGAGAATACTGCTAAAATGAAATTAATAATAGCACAGTCAAAGAACTCCTCTTACCTCATGTAATTCTTTGATGTTGGCCAATTCTGAACAGATTCAATCTTAAATAGGTCTATAGACACACCCACTGTGCTGAGTATGTGTCCCAGGAAACTCACTTGTCTGTGGAACATTTCACCCTTTTTGGAATTCAGCTTAAGATTATGTTTCTGTAACCAATCCAGAACTTTTCTTAGCCCATCATAAGCATCATCAAGGTCTTCCCATGTATGATCATGCCATCAAAGTAGATGAGTACGATGATGCAGACTAGTTCAGAGACAGTACACCCCATTATTTATTGAAATGTAGCAGGTGTATCACATAACTAACTGTAACACAAAATATTGCCACAATTCATTTTCTGCAGTAAAGGTTGCATTCTCCCTACTTGGTTTCCAGACTTGCACTTGCCAATATTCTCTATTTAGATTCAATATTGAAAACGATTTTGATCCAAATAAAGCATTCATTGTAGAGTCAAGCCTTGGCAGTGGGTAGGAATCCTTCTTTGTGACGTCATTCACTTTCCATTAGTCCATGTACAAACTTATGTATTTACCATTTCATATGACACATCCAAGTAAAATAACTGAGAAAGGCTTCCCAAGTTTGACTAATGTCTCTTCTTCTTTCCCCTGCATTCTGCTCCTGAACTCTTCTTACTGGTGTATCACTCTGAACCTGTTGGATAAGGCAGCCACCAATGCTTAATAGTTGTTCCATTTAAACATGCAGCAACATGAATAGCTTGTTGTTCATTATTCCACCCGTTCACATTGTAGAATATTCCAAAATGAGCTTGATACGCCTACCATGGTACCTTTCTATCATGGTCCAGTGATTTCTTGATTGGTCTATGTTGTTGAAATAGTAACATATCTGGAGTAGTCCAAGGAGATTTTGCAGTCACAAATGGCACACCAATATTGATAACAGGTATAGACCAAATATGTTCTCATACTTAATATTTTATAGGAAATGATGATGTACGTTGGAATTCTTGGATGGATGTAGAAAGAGCTGTGGCTGGTTTGATCTCTGCATTTACCAATTCATTTTTAAAATGTTTTATTTTGTCACTGATGTTCTCTTCTACTACATTGATCTTACAGTTATAATCTTTCAGTACTTCTTCAATTTTGTCATTACAGCATTTTTGTACTTTGCTGATGTCTTTGTTTACTTTTTGTTTTTGTACTTTGTCGATACATTGTTGTAGTTCTTCAGTCTTGTTGTTGTAGTCCCTCTGTACGTGTGCAATAGCTTTGTGGTTCTAGTCTTTAATCAGATGTATTTTTGTTTCTAATTCTTCTTTAAATTGTATGTCTCATTCTTTTAACTTCTCATTGAGCTTCTAATCCTTTCATAACTAATTTATAGTATATCTGTAATAAGGAATGTTCAGGTTATTTTCTACACTTTCATGTAGGCGTTCCACATAATTTAAGACATCTTTATAAACTGGATGTGCGAAGGTTGTAAATATGTATTGATTCGTCCCTCACATCATAATTTTTTACTTTTACATACATTTATTCTTAATCTTCGTTTAATGCACTGTCACTTTGTGCTTTTTTTTCTTTCCACTGTTTCATTGTCTCCAGCAAATTTTCGATCTCACTTCGTGCACGTGGTGTCATCTTGAAGTTCGGGCACAGTTTAATTTTATTTTCACCAAAATCGTCTGTTGTAACGTGTTCTATCGTTGGGCGAGTTCTTTGGATTGCTTAGTAAAATTATTGCGAAGCCCAGTCCACATAACAATAATAGAATGATTCAAATTCGATGACGAGGAACCCACTTTGAGACTAATAATGGCTGGAGACGGCTTGAGTGGGTAATGAAGAAAAACTTTAATGTAAGTTTAACATGACAGCAAATGTACAACGTTTCGACAAGGTTTTGTCATCATCTGGTACAAGCAATTTACAAGCAATATCCGTGTCAGTGTAAATTACTTGTACCTGATGATGACAA